CCGGGGGGGGCCCGGAGCCAAGGCCCAGCCCGGCGGAAAGCCACGGCTGCCGCACACCCGCTCCTACGCCATCAGCCAGGCCACGCTGGAGCGGATTGGGGCTGTCCCCGTCATGGTGCCCGCCCAGAGCCGGGCTGGCTCCCTTGTGTAGGGCCATGCCAGCAGCCAAGAGCCGAGCAAGGGGCCTCTTGTACCCGGTGGGGCAAAGAGACCCTACTCCTTCCTGAAAGGCAGCGAGGCAGTGGGGGGACACACACACGCCTCTGCCCCCTGCCCTCCCCTTCCAAGGCCACTGCTGGCTGGTGGGACAGCCCTGGCCATGCCGCATCCCCCCCTGGCTGTCGGGGTTCCTCACGCCGGTGGACGCCGCAGATGTGCCAAGGCCGGGGGAGCAGGGAGGCTGGGATGCACTCCTGGCTGCTGGGCCCCAGCCGGGATGTGCGCCTGGCCCTGACCTCGGGGGGGACTTTTGCTTTTGTTTCCCATTGGTTTTGTTGAAGGTCGATTCCATCCATTTGGGTCTTTCAGGGAGGCTTGGGGAGATATATATATATTATTTTTTTTCCGTTGTGGTTGATGTTTTATTTCCAAGAGGACGACAGCCTGCATCGGGGCAGGGAGGGCCAAGCGGGGAGGGGTGCTGAGGCGGGGGATGCCTCAACATGGCAGCCCTCAGTGGCCCTGGCCCCGCTGCGGACAAGGGAGGGCAGTGCGCCGGGGCTGGGTGTGAGGAGGCACAGGCCAGACTGGAGGGATGAGACGGAGGCACAGCCACCAGCCTGGCCAGGGGGATGGCTGGGCGAGGGCGCGAACCAGGGAGCATTTGTCTTTATTTGTTGCAGTTCTTCCCCCACCCCCACACGCACACAGACACACACAGGTCCTCCTCAGACCAGGTATTTTTTTCTGCACTAGCTCGGGGTGCCACCAGAGGCCTGTTCATGGCTGTGGAGGACGCAGCCTCCAGGCACGGCAAGGGTGCGTCGCCACTGCTGCTGTAGGGCTCGTGTCTTTTTTTTTTTTTTGGGGGTTTCTGGGCAGAGAGGGAGCAGGGTGGTGTGGCAGAGTGGCAGGCAAGTGGCTTCAAACCCCACAGCTTTGGTATTTGCATGGTGGGTTTTCCTTATAGGGCTATCCAGGGCTGGCCGGCATGGCAGGGCACGTGTTGTGCTTGGGGCCCTCACACAGAGGCATCACAGTTTTCATTCTCGCTCTCCCACACGCACAGACTTCCCAGACGCTGAGGTTGGCAGGATTCATTTCCAAATCTCTTTCCTTAGAAAGAGTGAAAGCAGGGGCTTAATGGAGGGGGTAACCTTGTGGAAGCCCATATGCTATCTCTCTGCCTCCCCTACTTCTGGCAATGTCCTGGGGCCAGGTACTGGTGGCATCTGCTAGGGGCTCTGCCATCTCCTCGCAGCCAGGGAGGTGGTTATGGCTGGCACCTATCCTTTTTCTATTGCAACTAAATAGCCTTAATCAAAGCTAAGAGTCGAAACCGCTGAAGGAACCTGGTGGCATTTGGAGGACTGGACTGAGGGCTGGGACTTACCCTCCTAGAGAGCACTGGCTCAAAGGGGCCATGCTTGGATGGGTGTCTTGGCCCTCCTGCATAACACCAACCCTTGCACATGTAAAGGCAGTGGTCACCTCCAAAAGCACCAGAACCCTCCCAGGTCTGCTCTTGGAAGAGCAATGGGGGGAGTCACAGGTGACTTTCCGTAGCTCTCACATTGGAGAAAGGGTCTGTTTAAGCCAACAGACTCTTCCTCATCCCCACTTTCCTTGTCCCGGCACAGCTTTACTTTCTCTAGCAGTGCACAAACCTTGGGTGGGGCCTTTTGCCTGAGCGGTACCTTTCAAATACAAATACAGACTCTGAGGAAGAGGGGGGAGAGGTGAGGGCTGGGTTCCAACATGGACACACGGGCTTTTTGGGAGGTTGGGGGCTCCCAGGCAGCACTAGGTTTGAAGCTTGGCTGAGATTTTGTGCCTTCTTTGCTTAAAATAAAAAAGAAAAGAAAAAGGAGAAAAAAAATCCAACCTCCCTTCCTTCCCCCTCCTACAACAAGTCCATCCAGAATGGGTGAAAACCCCCACGGCGGTGCAGGCAGGCGGTTGCTCTGTGTGCGTGTACAACACGTTTCACCAGAGCAGTCCTCTTTCCTGCCTGTCTGCTCACTTTGCTGCTGGGTGGTAGGAGTGACGAGGGAAGAAGAGTGGCTTTAGAAACCCTAATGTGGGAGGGGGGAAACAAAGAAAAGCCCAGACATTCTCTCTGCTTTTATAACAACCCCTGTGCAACATTTACAGGAACACTGCCCTCAGCAGGTCCACTCCTCTACTGGGAAAGCTCTTCTGGTTCCTACCCTCCATGAGACTGTTTGCTCCTCTTTCTTTGTTCTTTCTAATTGTCTAAAATTCAATAAAACTTTATTCATATAAAAAAAGGACTTCTTACTGGCTGCTGCTGCTTTCCTCCCTCCCCTAATTCTGTAACTACAATGAATATGGCTGTTAATACTCATCCTTGATATGACTGGCAGTAAGCAGCGACTGTGCAACCAAGACCTGCATGTTATTAGGCCAGCCAGTTTGATAGTGAACCCTGGTACTATAGCCTTGTTTTTCTCATTCATAGTAGTCTGACACATTGCCCTTGAAGGTACGATTTCCCAGGCTTACAAGGTCTCTACTTCTCTAGACAAAGGTGAGTTACATTTTCTGTCGTTTGGCATGGGAGATCCTTTGCTGCTTTGAGTGATGTGGGAAAATGTTTTTTAAAATTGCCTAACTTTGCTCATGTGTTGGTTTTCCAATCTGAAACATGGCATGTTCAACCCATATCCCAAATCTAAGGCAGTCACCAGGAAGGTCCTCACTGACTTTCTTGGGCGTCTGAATAAGTTTGATGGGGGAAACTGTCAGGAAGTTAACAAAATGCTGATCCCCATAGACAGAGTATGGGAAATTTCAGTGTCTGAGCATTCACACTTCCAGGGCGTAAGGGGACTGGGAAGCACACACTTCTTAGTCCGTATCAACAGCTGCTAGCAGACGGTTATTATTAGTTAGGGCAACCTGATGTTTTGCCAAAGATCTTGCATTTTTCTGTCCGTGTTTCATTTTCCCTGTTTCTTCTCTAAAATCCCCCAGATATTCTGAGAATGATGATTAAAACCAGAAACCTACAGATCCAACAGCAGTGGTTATTCAGCCCTGCTGCACATGCATCGCGTTCTCATTCCATGGTATTTTTCAACACCTAGTTTAAAATACTCCTGTAAATGTGTTTTCAGCTATAGGCCTTACAGTAAATGAGATCACTGCATTGCCATTTTTGGAAAGTTGCCGTAGGAATCTTAGTGTTTGCATTTTTCATCTTTTGATTGTGCAACCTTGATGTGACATTAATAGCATCTTTGCATTTTATTCCCATGATAGCCCTGTGAGTATTCTGCTTTAGTATCCATTCTTTGCCACTGGCTTGCCCCTTATGTCATTCTTCTGCATGTCTCTGTCTATTGATCTAGAGTAGAATTTCCTAAGATACAGGATAGTTTACTAGGCTTGTGCAGCACCTAGTATGCTGGCATTTTAGTCTGTAAATTGTACCTAGTGAGGCATTGCTGCAATACAAATATCTAGCCAAAAATAATACCAGTTAGAGGTTTTGATAGTGCTCCAGAGTCACTATTTATCATTAAAAAGCAAACAAAGGTTCAAGCTATTATAGTTGTAAGTGGAAGTCACTACTGAAATGCTTGAGTTTGCTGACAGCCGTCAACCCCAGCTGTATAGTAGGGATTGTCCACCACAGTGGGTGCCACGGCTGTTACTTTAAATGTCAGTACCTATCGGTTATATCACCTTCCACCAAAGAATATCAGAAGGAAACTTGTTCTAGCACAAGGATTAACTGTACATTTGAGTGCTAACTCAAATAACCATGAGAGGATGCTTTACACTTTAGAAGTGGACATCTTTTTAGAGGTTGGTGTAGATGAGAGCTCAATTTAAAACATTTGGAAAATCTGGTCTGTAGACTGCCAGAAGTTTTTTTTAACTTACACAGCTTTTGGACTTGGATCTGCTGATTCATCTGAACTAAAAAAAATAAAATTACCCAGATGCATGCATTTCAACAAACTCTTGACAGAACACAGATGAGTTTCCAGCGGAAGTCAGTCTACCAGATGGTGTCCTGTCCAAGACTGCCTGGCTTCCTCATGAGGACCTGGGATGCTCAGGAGATCAATCCTCCTTATGTCATGGTTTAGGTCCTCATGAAGGGTACCTCAAATCGGGGTAGCCTCAGATGACATCCAGGACCGAGGTAACCGGGTGATCGATTTGGTACTGGGCAGAGGAAATCAAACTGAAATTTTTTTACACACACACACACACACACACACACACACACCCCCCCAAAGGAAAGATATTGGGGGAATTTTCATGATAAATTTCTTGTTTCATCAAACACATAGGTAAGTTTTTGCAGGTTACTGGATTTCTCCTGGAAGCAACATTTTGCATCCCAGCTTCATCTACTTTAGGCACGTAAACGCCTTTCTGTGTCTGCACTCTAATTGGGATCTTCTGAGCCACAGCGCTGCTGGTTTGTGAGCAAGTGGATGAGTCTGTGCATATGTGTGCCAACACCAAGT